TGTTCGGAGACTCATGTACCAGAGATCCTTTCTCAGTAAATTACTAGATGTTACATTCCACCTTGGATATTGTATTCCAATAAGTCCAGAAAGAAAAAGACATGGGATTTAGAAAATAGAAGATGTAACACAAGAAAGAAATAGAAAATTCACAGAATAATAGTGAAGGGAAATTTTAGGATAACAGATATATGTCAGATCTAGAAAAACAGACATTCCAGAGAACAAGAAAATACAGTGTTCCTGAAGATTATTCCAGGGGGAAAATGACAGATTATACTCACTTGGCTATACCAAGAGGAGATAGAGAATTGAATTAATGAAAGGTACCTAGAAAAATAAAGCAAAGAAAAAAATAAGGAAATTCTTAAAGAAACAAAAAAATGCACAAGAAATAAAATGTGATTGAATTACAGTAGCATATAGTTATAATAAAATAAATACTATTAATTTAAAACAAAATTGCTCTCTCTATATTTTTGCTTGGTTAGAAGTGTGTTGGAATTTGTTATCAGGAAGTGAAACCACCACATTACATGTTAGAAACCTGTAATTGAAAAATTAAGGAGTAGCATTATAATCAAGTTATTTAGAAATTTAGGATGAAGAAAAGCTCAAAAATTGAAAGTTACTAATGTAGGGAGCCTAAATCAGAATTAGAAGGAGTTATGATTGAGACAGTCCAGAAATGAAATACCAACGTTATCAATGGGTGCAGAGGAGTGTTCAAGAGATGGTAAATAAATGACATGAGAGAGGAAGATGTTACTACTAGATAATGAGACCATCAAAGGAAGAGGGGTTTTACAGGAGGAGAGAAGAGTAATAGTTTTTAGAAAGCAAGGGGGATAACAATTCCACTTTCCAGCCCTGAAGTGTTTAAGGGGTGAGAATGCCAGCATGCTCCACTTTTGAAGGCTACAAGTGAATCAAGTTTTAGTTGAGACTATGAGGGAGCGTTCAGTGAAGAGGACAAGGCTTAATGGAATTATCGATCATGGTATAAGGCACGTTCTGAGTTCAGAGGAAGTACAGAAGAGGGAAATTGGGTGAGGGAAAAACTTCAGTACATTGTGGGGATGAGAGAAGGGACAGAAAAGATGACCAGAAGAGCCTACATTTGGGGGCAATGAAAGCGAAAGCAGTCTTAAGTGAACAGAGTTCCAAAAGTCTTAGTGAACAGTGGACCCTCTGGCCAAATGGTTTAGGTGCAAGTCTGGATATTCTTTTTCCTCTTAATTTATATTTAAAAATTTACAGTGGCAGCAACAGACAGGTATGAAGAAATAGTCACATGGCTCAACACAATAGGGTGAGTGCTAGGCACAGGGCCACACAGGAATGAACAGTAGATTGTACATCCATCTGTGGGTCAGAGAGGCAGACAGGGCATGACATTATAGCTGTGTGGTTGATGTGACTACTAGTGACTCAAATTAAAAACCTGGGAAGCTTTCGAGACACCTCTTTCTCCCCCCCGCCAGTATCCCCTCCCATCTCTCATTTAATCTATCACCAACACATTGGATTCTGCTTCTTAAATATCTTTCCAATCCATCACTTCTTTTCATCCTCACTGTTACTCTCATAATCTAAGCCATCATCACTTACCTTTACAACTGTAATAACTTGCACAAACATTTACTAGGTGCCTAATATGTGTCAGATATTTACTAGATGCATTTATTGGCTGCCTAATATATGCTAGGTCCCAGGTAGAGACTGGGAAGGCACCAACCGATAATTAGGGATTTCAAGTAAGGTCAAGTAAAATAAGAGTTACAAAACCTTGTGATTCAGGCTCCTAGAAATGTGAAGTGTAGGAGTTCAAGAGACAGAAAGTAATGAAGAAGAAAGGTCATCTTTATCTTTTTAATGTTTTTGGTTGGCCTTCTACAGAATACCAAGTGCAAGTAACCACCTGAAAGTGATGACTCATGAACCTGTCCTCAAAATATCATTTTATTTATTTTGGGAGTTAAAAGAAGGTTAAGGAAGGCTTGGGCTGAATGTCCAACAGCTCTTAAACATTTTCTACTCATCTCCCTCCAAATTTGACTTAACCTAAGCAATTTAAAAAACAAAATGCTATGTTGTTTTTATAAACTAATACCACTTTCTAGTAATAAACTTATTTTGGTAAGTCAAATAAATCAACCAAAAAAGTTCGTTTCAAATTAATGCTCATTTAGTACTACTCAGTAGCTGGCAAACTATCCTGTGTCTGCGAATTCAAAAATGAATAAAACAAGATATTTTCTTCAAAGAACTTACCTAGGGGGAAAATAGAACATGTAATTGGGAAGCAATGTGATTATTGCTCTCGGAACTCAGAGGAAGACTGTAGTCATTCTTCTTGGAGAGACATTCACAGAGGTAGTGACCTTTTAGTTAGGATGAGAAGTTTTTCCAACAAATTGTCAATAGCTGATGATGATTGGGAGGGAGAGAGGAGAGCCCTAAATATATTCATTTATTCATTCATGAATTCATTTTTTATTTGTTTGTATTTTGGGGTTTTTTTTTAGTTTCAAGTTTTTATTTACATTCCAGTTAGTTAACATACAGTGTAATATTAGTTTCAGGTGTAGAATTTAGTGATTCATCACTTACATATGACACCCAGTGCTCATCACAACCAGTGCCCTCCTTAATACCTATCACCCATTTAACCCATCTCCCCATCCACCTCTCCTCCAGCAACCCTCAGTTTGTTCTCTATAGTTAAGAGTCTGTTTCTTGGTTTGCCTCTCTCTTTCCCCCCCATGTTCATTTGTTTTGTTTCTTAAATTCCACATATGAGTGAAGTCATGTGGTATTTGTCTTTCTCGGACTGATTTATTTCACTTAACACAATAGTCTCTAGCTCCATCCATGTCATTGCAAATGGCAAGATTTCGTTCTTTTTGATGGCTGAGTAATATTCCCTTGTATATATACATACCATATTTTCTTTATCCATTCATAAGTCAATGGTCATTTGGGCTTTCCATAATTTGGCTATTGCTGATGATGCTGCTATAAACATCGGGGTGCATTTATCCCTTCAAATTAGTATTTTTGTATCCTTTGGGTAAATACATAGTAGTATAATTGCTAGGTTGTCGGGTAGTTCTATTTCTAACTTTTTTGAGGAATCGCCATACTGTTTTCCAGAGTGGCTGCACCAGTTTGCATTCCCACTGACAGTGCAAGAGGGTTCCCCTTTCTCCTCATCTTCTTCAACACCTGTTGTTTTCTGTGTTGTTAATTTTAGGCATTCTGACTGGTGTGAGGTGATATCTCATTGTAGTTTTGATGTTTATTTCCCTGATGATGAGTAATGTTGATCATCTTTTCATGCGTCTGTTAGCCATCTGTATATCTTCTTTGGAAAAATGTCTATTCATGTCTTCTGCCCATTTTTTAACTGTATTGTTTGTTTTTTGGGTGTTGAGTTTTATAAGTTCTTTATAGATTTTGGATACTAACCCTTTTTCATACATGTCATTTGCAAATATTCTCCCATTCTGTAGGCTACCTTTTTGTTTTGTTGATTGTTTCCTTTGCTGTGCAGAAGCTTTTTATTTTGATGAAGTCCTAATAGTTTATTTTTCCTTTTGTTTCCCTTGCCTCTGGAGATGTGTTTGGTAAGAAGTTTCTGCCACCAACATCAAAGAGGTTACTGTCTGTGTTCTCCTCTGGGATTTTAATGGTTTCCACACTTAGGTCTTTCATCCATCTTGAATATATTTTTGTGTATGGTTTAAGCAAGTGATCCAGTTTCATTCTTTCGCATGAAGCCATCCAGTTTTCCCAATACCATTTGTTGAAGGGACCATCTCTTTTCCATTGGATATTCTTTCCTGCTTTGTTGAAGATTAGTTGACCATAGAGCGTAAGTCCATTTCTGGGTTTTCCATTCTGTCCCATTGATCTATGTGTCTGTTTTTGTGCCGGTACCATACTGTCTTGATCACTACAGCTTTGTAATATAGCTTGAAGTCTGGAATTGTGATGCCTCCAGCTTTTCTTTTCTATTTCAAGATTGCTTTGGCTATTTGGGGTCTTTTGTGGTTCCATACAAATTCATTTGTTCATTCTACATTTGTTATTAAATATTTACTGTATGTCAAGCAAGACAAATGCAAAATGAATAAAACACAGTTCCTACTCTCAAGAGACTTATAGTCTAGAAGAATAACATGAAAATCAGTGGATTTAATAAAGTGTTATAAGTGACATGGTACAAGCCTGTGCAAGATTTCATGGCAATTGGTAAGTTTAACCTAGAGAAAGCTGTTACAGGAATTTCTACCATGATTATAAGTGGCTTTCTCCCATTAAAATCATAAGATTCATAAAGATAGGTTCTTATTCTGAAGCAAATAACCAATCCATCTTTAATCTGTAGCTCCAATAGGATAGAAGCTTCGTGAAAACAGGGACTTTGTTCATTTCTTCACTCTATCCCAGTAACTATATCAGTGCCTGGAACATAGTGGTTATTCAATAAACATATGTCCATTAATTGAATGAATTTGTGGATCAAAAAGAGGTCATCATAAACCTTATGAAATTTGAATATTTTTACAGAAATGGAAAAAAAGATGTATTTTTTCTAACCAATTCCAGATATTTCTGTTCTGCAGTGTAACTTGTGTAAAATTAAAAAAAAATTATAGATTTGTGTGTCGAGTGAGAATGTAAGCATGGTAACTGCATTGCACTGAGTCATGATTGTGTTCTCACGAGATTCTGCCATTCCCAAGCTGCCTGATGATGGGATACCTCCTAACCTCTCTGAATTCCATTTCTTTATCTGTTAAATGGGAATAAAACCGATTTCACATACCTTGCAGGGCTGTTCAAGTGTTAAACGATATAATGCACATGCATGTCCTCTATAAACTTTAAAGTATTACATAATTATAAAATATATACCGAAGTTAAATTTCTATGGCTCTACTCTTGCAGGAGTGCCCTCCAAATTCAGTCAATTAAGCAGAGTTATTTTCTGTCTGTTTCTGTAGTGCAGTGCCTGGAGATGACCACCAAGCGGAAAATCATCGGCCGACTGGTGCCGTGCCGATGTTTCCGAGGTGAAGAAGAAATCATCTCAGTTTTAGACTACTCCCACTGCAGTCTTCAGCAGGTGCCGAAGGAGGTCTTTAACTTCGAGCGGACATTAGAGGAGCTTTATCTAGATGCCAATCAAATCGAAGAGCTACCCAAGGTAATCTTTGACAACCTGAGATGTACACCGTAAATGAGTATTTTGTGATATCCAAAGACTTGGTATAAGGATAATGTTGATTATAGCCTTCTCACTGAATAACTGGCCAGTTTTTCAAACTGCTGTAACTTTTTCCAATATGCTTGTTGGTACCTCTTAATACCACTTCATTTGTAAATTCATGTGATGAGTATGACCAATTGAACTCCATGGAAATCATCGTTTTATGAATTATTCCTCATTTTATTTATTTATTTATTTATTTAAAAATGAGTTGTTTTTTTTTTCTTATTTATTTATTTATTTGACAGAGAGAGACACAGTGAGAGAGGGAACACAAGCAGAGGGGAGTGGGAGAGGGAGAAGCAGGCTTCCTGCAGAGCAGGGGGCCCGACGCGGGGCTGCATCCCAGGACCCTGGGATCATGACCTGAGCTGAAGGCAGACGCTTAACGACTGAGCCACCCAGGCGCCCCTTATTTATTTTTAAAGATTTTATTTTTCGTTTATTTGAGAGCGAGAGAGAGCACGAGCAGGGGGAGAGGATGAGAGAGAGGGAGAAGCAGGCTCCCTGCCGAGCTCAGAGTCCAACACAGGGCTCTATCCCAGGACCCTGGGATCATGACCTGAGCCGAAGGCAGACACTTAACCACTGGGTCAACCAGGCGCCCCTGAATTATGCCTTATTTTAATTTAAAATGGCCTCCATGAAAATACAGATTGAGATCAATATCGGTGGGTTGAGATCATGTTTGGAAAAGAAAGGGAAGATATGACACTGTATTCCAGAAGCAAAATTTTTATTGTACGTTAAGGAAACATTGTTTTAAAACCTTGAATTATATGTTCTAAGTCTAAGAAATACTTTTACACACACACACACACACACACACACACCACACACAAAATTAATACTAGTATGAAAAACATGCTGTTATTTCTGGAATTTGGCATCTTTGATTATTACAGACATCATTGAATATATGGCATATAAGTATAAGCATAGTAGAGCTAAAAATTTAACTAATATCAAACTTTGCACACACACACTGCCATTATGACATTGTGCTTACAAAGAAAATACCTTGTTTCCTGTTTTCCACTGCAGAAAAGAATGGATGATAAAAGATTAGCTAACACAGACCAAGGCCACACAACAGCAAGGTTCAAAATCTAAACCACTCTATATTAATGATCATCTAAATAAGTGACTCACATTAAGTAGTCAGCATAGCATTTACCTGTGAAGGATTTACACAATGGCTCAGAGGGAAAAAATGTCTTGCAATACATGTCCATTGCTTATGCTAAAAAAATGCATATTAAATACCCAGAAATCAGGGAAAGAAACTTCCATAATAAAAACTCACTTCACTATCAAAATCTGAGAATAATATGCCGATCAAACTAAATCATGAATAATTGCTTTCACTTAGGATTATAAATTATGGTATTATTATAATACTTCAGAGGCAGGAACGATTTAATGTGTACTTCAAAACCAATGTACTTCATTTTTGACAACCAGAGTATATACTGTTGTTGTCTTGGATTTGGACCCAGAAGTTCTGGGTCAGGCCTAAAAAAAAGTTCTAACGGTATGGATTGCCATGCAGATGCGTATCAAGTAGAGGTCGTCATGAAATGGACAGTTTCTCCCAAAGACTTTCTTGAGGGCAGAGATGGCATCTTATTCATCTTTGCCTCCCTGTATACATGGTGACTTTCACATAATGGATATTTAAACTCTTTCTTGTCACTGCCAGGTAGAACAAGGCAGAGAACTTCATGTACTACAGGACTTGATTGGCAAAATGGTATAAGGTTTAAACGACTCATAAATGTGACATTTAGCTCTAATTTAGAAAAATAAGTATTTTTTTAGAGCAGCTCCATCTAAGATTGCCAGATAAATAAAGGACATCCATTGAAATTTGAATTTTAAACTTTTTAAAAACCAGAAAATTTTTGGTATAATTATGCCCCAAATATTGCATTCTATATATTTACACTAAAAAAATAGTTATTTAACTTGACATCCTGTATTTTTATTTGTTCAATCTTGAGAGCCCTAAGCCAATCTAGTTATTTAGTCTTTTTCTAGATCCATGAAGCAGATTCGGTAAGACAAATAGTAAAAAACATGGTTTATCAATCAAGTATTTATTTAATATCTCTATTACTACACAGTGTTTGAGGCTTTAGGTGGGCGCAAGAGAAATCAATCTCAATCCTTACTCTCAACGATCTAACCACCTAATCACAGAGAAAACTGAAGCATTAGAGGCAAAAGCATGATAATGTGTAATCAGAGCCAAAGAGCCAAATACCATTGTAGGGAAGAGTTTCATTCTTGCAGGGGGTGCAGGAGGGCTTGACCAAAAGGTAAAGTTGCAAAGATTAAGATGGTACATACGGAGAGGATGAAGAGAGGGACAGCAGAGCTGTGAAGAGTCTGAAACTGCAGGTACACCTGAGGGAGTGCCAACAGTATGTGAGTAGAGTAGGGAGAGCATGGAGGACCCAGATTATGAAAGGCCTTGAGAGTCACGCAGCACTGTTTGACTCGATGAATTAGGCAGATAGTGTCATCGGAGAGTCTTATATATCATGTAAGTCACCAGGAGCCTACTAAGCTTGGATTAACAATACATAAAAATAATACAAGTGAACCAAAGACTCAGTATAATTTCCCAGCATATTGAATTGAGGAGAAATTGTTATCTTTTATTATGGCATGCTTTATATATTTCAAAGATCTTTCACGTAATCTCTCAAGGTTTCTTTGAATTCCCAAAATCAAGGTGTTGCTTTCATAAAACAGCCCTGTGTTACTTTCTTCTAATGTATTTGATATCGAGATATGATCTAAATTGTCTGATGTTGAGACATGATCATTATAGTACATGGATATATTTGTGCATATTAGAAAAACAGGAAGTTAAAAACTCTCTGTTTTTCTGAGAAGGACTTGAAAGTCCTAACTTATTCTTAGGTCTCATTGGCCTTAATTGTGTTACATGTTTATTGCTGATCCAATCCCTTTGCTACAGAATCCACTATGGCAAGAAAAATAAGATTACTTTGATTGAATTAAACAATGATGGACCATCTCTGTGGATTTGTGATTGTTGGCCACAGCACAAAAGAAAGGAGTGCAAGGACTGTGGGGGAGATTACCACAGTGTACACTACAAACAAAATGTTATACAGTCATTGTTTCATGAGGAAAAGTAGACAAAGTCTACTTTAGGGAGTTTAATCTTCAAATTTAAATTAAATAAAACCTTTTTTGGCTGCCATTTTATTTTATTGTTTTCTTTATGTTTCCCTGGCATTGTTACCATGGTGATTTCAAATATGTTAAGTAAATGAGATAACTATTTGTTTTTGTTTTTTTTTTGATATTACATTATGGAAAGAATTATTTTTTGTAAATTTTTTTTTTACTTTTTTTCTTTCTGATATTTTATACAGAGAATATTCTAGCTGGTCCAGAATTGCTACTGTAAAATGTTATACAACAGGTATAGAACAGAGTCAAGGTTAATGACATTAGAAAAAGGTATATCAAGACTATGTCAGAAGAGATGCAAAAATAGATATGAAAGAACAGGAAGTTTTTTGATTAGAAATGGTTCAATCTGCGTTACTTAGTTTGCTGTAGTAAAAGGTAAAAATACAAAATGACATGCCTTTCACACAGTAACAGAAAACCCACACAGCTTATAATTTAGTACTGTTTTGCTTGTTACTTTGAACCAGAAACTTAAAATTATAGACAAAATAATAGACCATAACAGGGGCATATTATATATGAAGTAGTGTGGGAAGAAAAAAGTAAAAAAAAAGCAATAAAGAGAAAAACTGTTGAGAAACTTCTTGAAACTGAAGAGGAACCTTAAAAAAGAGAATAGAAATAATTTGGAAAAGTTAATATGTGACCAAAATTGAAAGACATAAAGAGTGAATTTGACAGGGAAGATCAATTTAACCGCATGTGAAAGAGGATAGAACGAAATCTGAAGCACCAGACTTAGAAAATTTTCTCTGTGTTAAACTTTACAATCTACCCTTGAAATATTTTAGAGCTTAAGAACCTGACCTTTGGACCCAGACAAACCTAGGATTAGATTTTAGCACTGCTCTTTGGTTGGGAAGATACTTTATTTTCTGGGAGTCTCAGTTTCTTCATTAGCAAAAATGGGAAGATAATAGAGGTTGCTAGTGATTAGATAGATTATAGATGATAGGTAGATAAATAGATAAATGAGTATTGGGTGAGATAATACATATGGGATACATGGAATAGAGAAATATCCAATAATCAATATTCATCATTCTCCTATCACAGATGAAGCTTAATTCCCATGTTAATTACCCTGAGTAAAACAAAAGTAAGATTTTGTAACATCTCAAGATAGTTCTGGGCATTGACTCTCTAACAAAAAATTGTGTGGCATGACTTTATCTCTAAAATTTCCAAGGACAGCTTCTAGGAAATCAATTCCCTGCCTATAATGGGTCTAGGTTTTTGACTCTACCAACTGCACCAACACATTTGTGGTAACACCACTGTTCACGCAGAAAATTTCCCTGACTCACAGAATCACAATGTTGTACTATATTTGAATAGATGCAGCCTTGGAGATTATTTAATTTAGCCCTCAATTATTACTAATAAGCAAATCTAGGCCAAGAAATTCATTAACTTCTTTTAGGCCACGTGGGATGTTAGATTCCTATCTAAAACTATTACCAAAGACTGTGTATTCATTAGGATAGAATATGTTATGCTAAAGTAACAACAAATCAAAAGCCCAGTGTGTAATGGAACAAAAGTTTTGCTTGGTTTCCTATGAGTGTTGCCAGGAAGCACTGCCCTTTAGGAACCCGGTGTTAACTAATCTAACTGTCCACCCAATGCAGAAATGTCCACTTATTATTTCTCTTGCAACAGTCATCCAATCTCTTCATGAACATTTCTATTAGTGGAAGAAA